CTCAGAGTCCCTACTTCACTGACAAAGAAGCAATTGGGAAGACTGGCATCCTCTCCAAGAAATCCCATTATTGGCTATATTCAGCGTCCAAAATGGTAGAGTAAGTGTGGAGTAGCAATGATTAAGGGATGGGCATGAGTGGTGAGCTGCAGGTCTCCTCCCAGGGTCTTATACTCTAGCACGGTGTGAATGAAGTACTTGAGAGTTCCCCAGACTCCCATGGGGGCTACAGACTTGAAGAAAGGACTGGTGTACAGGAAAAGGTCTGAAGTTAAGAGAGGGAAACTGAAGAAGGCAAGGATTTTTTTATCAGAGGCATTGACTGAAAGTGCCAGCAAGATATCACAGAGATCAGGCAGGACCAGCTTTACTTGAATGGATGCCAACTTAGGATGCCCAGGGCTCGGTGGGTCCAACTTTGCCAGGACAGACGAGAAAAGAAAGAGGCCAGTGGCCAAGGGCCAAGCAGAATTAAATGTCTCAACCGCACACAGCAAGGGTTAGAACTAGGACATTATATACTACTTCTCACCACAAACTTATTCACCCTCAGATAGAAGGTGAAGTGGGAAAACTTTAGAAAGAATGAATTCTTACCCAAAAAGGTCTAGGATTTGAATGGAATAAAGATTAAGAAAATTATACTTTAATTTGGCTTTATAAAAATCACTGAATAAGGATGGAGTGTCCTGAATGTGGTAAAATATTCTTCTGCTACAGGCAGACTAGTAGTTTATACATTTTGTTGAATTCACTTAAAAAGATGTTACTTGTTTTTTCAAGTCTGAGTTTTTATACCCATCCACCACGTTTGTTTAATATTTTAATCAAACCTGTAAGAAAATTAGGCTCAGAGGGATGAAATAATTTGCTCAAGGTCGTAGTTAGCAATTGGTAGAGTCAAGACTACTTAGTCTGCTATCATAGTTTGCGTTTCTGACCCCTATACCTAAACCTCACAGTTATACTGTTATTTTTATCCTCTGTATTTTTGTTGTTGTCGTTGTTGCTGAGGAAGATTCACCCTGAGCTAACATCTGTGTCAATCTCCTCCTATTTTGTATGTGAGTTGCTGCCGTAGCATGGCTGCCAATGAGTCGTGTATGTCCGTGCCTGGGAACTGAACCCAGCCCACCGAAGTGGAGTGTGCTGAACTTAACCACTAGGCCGTGGGGCCAGGCCCCTCTGTATTGTTTTTAATCCATAGGAGGATGTGACTTGAAAAATGAGAGATACAACTATATCCTGTTGTAAATGTTCTTTATTTGCCCTTGTCTTGGTTATTGTTTTTTTCCCTCCATTTCTTTAATCTCTCTTTGTTTCTTTTATTTTAGCAGTCCTTCAATTTTTCCTTCTCTTACCACCCCACTGAGCCCCCATGGTAGACAATTGGGTCCTCCCTTCTTTGCCAACACTGAGCAATGTGTTAGACGTAAACCATATCATATGGAGCCACCTAGCCTGGCATCGTCCCGTTCCTCAGAAAGCAGACATGAAGACAGCACTGTCTTTGGATTTGGAAGCCTACAAATTAAGAGTTCATTGTATTTGAGAGGTCCAGGAGAATTGAGTTTAAGATGAGTGGAATAATCATCTTCCAGAGAAGTAAATTTACTTGGCAGGTTTCCACTAAAATGGTTTTTAAAAAATGTCAGATGGAACTAAAACATTTAAGACATATGGCGCATTAACTAAATGTTTAAACATTTGCCTTTAGCTGCGTGAACATATCACTGATGAGATGAGCTCAGTGAGCTATGTTGAACATCTTTGACTGAATCACTGTCCAGTAGAGAGCTCTATTTCTTGAATCTATTTAATATAAACCATCCCCAGATGCTTACAACAGATACCAAATATGTGTTATAATTTCACTGCTGAATGCAAATGGATATAAAAAGGAAAGATCCAAATGAGAAAATGTATCCGTAATCTCAGTCATTACCTTTTATTTGAAATAAGTTCTTCAGGAGAAGGGTGCAAAGAAGAGTATCATTAAAGTGTTACTGTGTGAAGCAGTGAAAGTCATTGGAATGCCACCACCCCATTCTCCTGTCTTCCAGAAAATCCCTTAATGCTTTAATGCATGGTCAGCAAATATGCAGCAAGTGTGGGAGTGCTCCCCCTCGCCCCATGTTCATAGCAGGCATTGTTAATCAATCACAACGCTTAATGTTCCTGCTGAGCCTGCACTTGGCCTGAGAATTTTTCTCCACCTAGCACTTCAGGCAACCACTGCCAATTGATCCAAGATGGCACTTAAAAAGAAACCTATTTGCAATCTCCAGACACAGAACAATGATAGAGCAGCAGGGTGTTTCTATACCAGATATATCTAACAGATGTGATAATTGGGGGTATTAGGCCATTGGGTACCCTTGGGATTTATTTCTTAAATTAAAAAAATGGCTTTGGGGATCCTTGGGTTCTGGAAGAATCCACTAAGACTTGGTTAAGCCTCTATCTAGTTATATAAATGGCTAGTCTTCTGTCTTTCAGGAAGACTGATTCCACATATACCTAGATCCCTTCACACTCTGAGTTTCACAAACTCAGTGAAAATGCTGAGGATTCTAGACCCATCTGAAATAGAACGAGTCAGGAACTACCAGAGACCTTAAAGCTATGATAATCACTTAAATTATGGATCCTGTGGAGATATTTCTGGAGTAAAGGTGTGTGTGTGTTGGGGGGACTTGTATTTAAGGTCTGGTCTCATATGCATTCACATTTCCTACATAGACTGTAAACAATAATAACTACTATTATATACCTGACAAAGTGTTAAGCACTAAAGGACGTGCACTTTAATCTTCATAACACCCCTCTAGATTACAACATCCCCATTTTATAGATGATGAAACTGAGGCTTATAATGCTAGGGAACTTATCTAAGATCACACAGACAGTACACATCGGTGTCAGACAGAATCTTGATGGAAACAGATGGAAAATTCTAAAAGATAATTTAAGACAATTTAACGAAAGAACAATTTACAGAGATAAGGGTAGGATTATGGAAACCAATAAGGGATGGTTCCAAAGTCTCCAAAGATGAGCAATAATTGGAATCCTGTACCACCCTAGACACAGTGTTAACTCAAACAGCAAAAACACGTGTGTGAGAGAGATCCCCAGATGGAAGCTGTCTTCTTAAGGAGAGGAAGTTCTTTACTGCCCAAACCAACTATGTCCTGGCTGGCTAGGCGGGATGGCAGAGAGGGGAGAGCCTGTGCCTCCTAGTGGCCAGATCTAACTGGAAGCCAGAAGGTGAAGGAGCCCAGGGGTGCAGTCCATAGATGTCAGCACAGAGCAGGGAATACATCTGAGGGGACAATGAGAATAATGACCTAGATGGTGGAGTGGCAATTAAACCCAATATTGCTCTGAGCCCGTTCTCATCACTGCTATTTTATATTCCACCCTTTGCCTGGGGTTTAGGAGGTCTAGGTCAAGAAGTAACAGCCAGTGTTTGCTTTCACTCCAGAGGAGAGAGGAAGAGAACCTAAACTTCCTGAGTGCACCATGGTAGTACACACTGTCCTTGGCACATAACAAGTGCTCAGTGAATGCTATGTGTCATTATTATTTCTTCCTTTTCCTTTGTCCAATTCTCCCTTTTTATGCCTTAGTTTTTTGACTAAAGTGATGGCACTCACTACAAAGGAAGTTGATTTGCAATTTCCAAAGCTTTACTTACAGTTCCTTATTTATAATGAGATATGAATTAGGTGGGTCTTTATTCCTAATTTTGGAAGAGGAAAATGAACCTCACTAATTTGAAAGCCAGTATTCTTCTAACACTTGAAGTTTCCTCTAGAAAATCAGCAGCAGGAAACTCTTGCAGTATGAAAAAAAATGATGACTATTAAAAAAAGATGATAGCTATTTTAATAATTGTTAAATTTATCCAAGATTTATCAAGGCATAGATTACCTGAGCTATGAATCATAGAAGGTTTGGGGACCATGGCTCACTCCACATGCCTCTCTCTGTCTCTGTCTCTGTCTCTCTCTCTTCCTCAGTCTCTCTCCCATGTTTTCCCCTTCATCCCTCCTCACTTCTCTCCCACCAGCTCCCAGTTTTCTCCTTCCCACTTGTCTTCTCCTCTTTCCCATCTCCTTTTCCCCAATTTTTTTCTTCTTTTCCTTCTGTTCCTCCTCTCTCAATAGCATTGGAGAGATAGAGCTTAGGGGTTATGATTGCAGGATCTAAATGTAAACTGTCTGGATTTAAGCCCTACTTCTGTCAATATTAGGCATGTGATGTTGTGTAAGTTATGTCAATTTTTCAAGTCTCACTTGCCTCATATGTAAAATGAGTTAATAAAGATACTCACAGTGTTGATGGAAAAATTGATAATGAATATGAAGGACCTACTACCACAATTATTGTTTCCCCCTCTTCTTTTTTTCAACTTTCTTTTCTACCTTTCCTCTTTCTTCCAAAGCTAGGTCCTCAGTGTTAAAAGGTTTGTTGACTTGTAAATTAATAAACGGGTAGAGGACTGGTGAATTTCATGACTCAGGTTCTAGAAGAAAAATTCAAAAAAGCAGCAGGCAGCATTGGATGTGTAGGAAGTAGTGCTCACAAATGAAAAGTTTGTTCTTTATGTGTATTCTGAAAATGTTTATTTTTCTGGCTTGAGAGATTTCTCGAAGGCCATGTCCCTGCTGCATTCAGTTGTGAAAGATGAGCAGCAGCCTCCAGGCATAGCAGGTATTATTGGAGAGACGCCCTTTTGTATGCGAGCTGCAAAGACTCATGGGTTGATAGAAGAGTTGCGTAATTGTTCAGTATTTAATTCTCCCTGGAATGGCTCAAAGAGGGAGCTATGTGTGAACTGAACTTGTGGATAAATAAGCCTGGCACAGAGCTCCACACCATCTGCAGACATTGCAGAAATGAGCAGGGGAAGCCAACGAGCTGTGAGTGACAGAGATTAATCTTCAAAGTCACAAAGGCATGTAGTTCCGTTTGGAATTCAGGCAACACTGGAGAGCGTCACAGCCTCGGAACATTTCTTTGAGGCAATGAAGACATTTATCAGCCATAAATCTCAGGTGACTTTGTGTCCTGGAATCCTTCATAGGGTGGAATCAAAAAGAACCCAGAAGAAAAACACTGCCTTTTAAAAGTAAGAGAAGCAGCAGTATGATTATGTTCAATTTCTTACCTAAAACGACTCACCAGGATGCTTTAGATGAAGCTGACCTACCACATCCAGAGGCCTGGGAAGGAAAGAGAGCAGGTGACCACATCCCACAGGATGTGCTTCTTTCAGGTGGCATGTGGACTTCCTGTTTGGGATGAGGAGCCATATAGTTGTTAGACTGAAATGAGATACTTAAAAATTACAATTATGCTTTTTGGAGTATTTACTTATTGATCAATATATTTATTTTTATAAGATGCATTTGTATTTGTAAAATAGTTCTTTTGAAAAACCATTTTCAAAAATAAAATCCTTTTTGAAAAATAGCACTTAACCACTTACATTTAAGCAAAATAAAAAAGCCTTTACATTAATTATTATGTTAACTATAATGAAAGTTTGAAAATAGCGTAAACAGAAAAACTATGCTTGATACACTTCATATATTCATCGATTTTTTGACATTATCTGTTTCTAATGCCATTTTTCTGGTACTCGAAAAAATACATTTTTTTAAGATGGCTTCATTTTTAATTTTTTTCATAAAATTGCCTGCAGTGTTCTTCTAAGTGTAATTTATAGCTAACAAATTTGAAATTATTAGCATATTTAATTGCCATACCTATGAACCATAATATTTTTAGTTGAGAAAATACTCTTTCTTCAGATACAGAAGTACTTGGGAGGCTAAGAGAAAATACTGCGATTGGAATATATTCTCAGTTCTATTTTTTTTGCTAAGGAAGATTTGCCCTGAGCTAACATCCATGTCAATCTTCCTCTATTTTTCAGTATGTTCAGTATGGCCAACACAGCATGGCCACTAACAGAGAGGTGTAGATCCATGCCTGGGAACTGAACCTGGGCTACTGAAGCAGAGTGTGCTGAGTTTAGCCACTAGGCCACCAGGGCTGGCCCCTATTCCCAGTTCTTTTCTTTTCTTTTCTTTCTTTCTTTCTTTTTTTTTTTTTTTTTGGTGAGGAAGATTGGCCTTTAGTTAACATCCATTGCCAATCTTCCTCTTTTTGTTTGAGAAAGATTGTTGCTGAGCTAATATCTGTGTTGATCTTCCTCTATTCTGTACTCTATTTTGTATGTAGGATGCCACCACAGCATGGCTTGATGAGTGGTGCATAGGTGTGTGCCTGGGATCTGAACTCACGAACCCTGGGCAACCAGCATGGAGTGCACAAACTTAACCACTACACCACCAGGCCAGGCCCCCCAGTTCTATTTTTAAAATCAAAATGTGTAAGTATATCAGTCCAAATATTTTCACACATCCTCTTTTTGCCTGCATTCAGAATATCTTTCTTTGAAAAATGTTTTAATTGAAGTTCTTCAATTAAGTTGGGTTTATGATTCTTTTGAATGTTTCTCAAAACTCAGATGCTGCAAAATTGTAGGCATTCTTATTTTGAGTCCATTACAGTACAGAATAGAAACTTGTCCAATAAAACATGAGTTCCATCAAAAGTCTCCCCACAAGTTGAGATATTCCAAAGTGCATTTATAGAATTTCAAATTTAAATATTATATACAGCATGAGGGTTCAGCCTTTTATTTGGTCACTTCCTCCTTTGGTATTTTCATGATGTTTCATTAAATTGTTTCTTTCAGGAAAACCTGTACAAAGTAACTACCAGCTTTTGAAAGAGACATTGGTTTTTTTTAGTAGATTTGCACTTCAAGATTTCATATGGTCACAAATATCATTATGGCCCTTAAGTTAAATGTCAAATACTTAAAATTGTGGGTAAGTTATGTGTTCATAAATTTTCTTAAGAAACAGAAATTCAGTACTTAAATTTTTATTAATTTTTCCCTCCCTAGAATCATTGCTGCTGAAAAGAATTACTGTAAAGTTTTTAAAAAGTTACCAAACAACAACGTAAATAAAAAGTTGTAGAATTAGAGCATATAATAAATGATAAAACCATGTAGTAGGAACTACTCTGTACATCGTCTATGGAAGGGTTCTCAGTCTCTATTTCCCACACATTTTACGTACACCCAACCTACAATTTCCCCTGCCTCTGTGGCCTGTGCTCTGGTGGCTTCATGCATCTTGCAGGCTGTAACCCTGGCCATGGTACCATTTACATATCTGTTCCCTTTGCTTGGAAGGGGCAGCAGTGTTGAACACTGTTGAAGTGTACAAGATCACTTCAGTTCCTTCAAAGGGAGGTATTATTGCATTGCATCTAGAAAGGGTCAAGAAAAGAAAAGTCATCACTGGTTGTTTTTCAAATATAATCAAGCGTTAAATTGAGAACTCTTACAGCATGTGTATTTCACACACGGACTACATGAAATTGTAGCAGAAGCTAGAGGTAAAAGCAGAATCCTAGCAAATCTGGCATGTTTTAATGCAACTATTAATAATAATACTTATATAAAAATTAAAAATCAGAGACACATGCTAAACCAGATGGAATTCCAGGATACTAAGGACTATTTGAGGCAAACCTGGTCTATGCTTCCCTTACTTGGCAGTTAAGAGCCCAATCTTTAGACCATCCAGGACCAAATTCTGGCTGTATCAATTAATAGCTACATGATCGTGGGTAAAGATCAGCCCTCAACCTTCTCATTTGCAAAATAAGGGCAAAAATGTCTGCCTTCCTGGGCTGTTGGAAGGAGAAAAATGTATGAAATGTGCTTAGATTAAGGACCGGGTACCCAGAACAACGTCTCACTACATGAGACAGAGCTGTTATTATTATTACTATGCTTCCCTTACCAATGACTTATTGGGCATGGATGCCATGCAATGATTGCTACTCGGGCTGATTTTTCTCATGAAAAATGAAGCAGGATTAGAAAGAATCAGGGAAAATAGAAAAGGGAAGAAAAGTAGGTAGGTGGGAATGTGGTGGAACAGCCCTGCAGTATTGGTAAGGTGGTTTAAATTCGTATCATTATCTCTTCAAAATAGGAGGAAAACCATGATTTATTAAGCACTTCCTCTAAGTCCAGCCCTGGAACACATACTTACTCACTGGTGCTTTCCCCATAAATGCCACATGGGGCAGTGTTATTATCATCTCCATTTTACAGATGAGTAAACCAAGACTTCAAGAGGTTAGAGAACAAGAAGCTCACAAGGAAGGCAGTAAAAAATAAGACCCATGCTCCTAAATCCACGCTTTTCATCTCTGACTACATGACTTTTCAGAAGTTAAAAATGTCCATAGTTTACCCACATTGGAGTGTCCAACACATGATTCTGTTTGGCAACACTAAGTAGAATTTCAGGAAAAGATAGGGTTGTCTTTTCATATTAACAACCTCAAAAAGTTAGAAATCCTTAAAAGCCTGTCATGAATGGTTCAGCTTTAAATTGACCTAAACAGTATTCTGAGCCTATTTGTAATTTTGACCTGTTGGCAATAGCAAGTTCCAAAATGTCTTAGGCATAAGGCATAAAACCAACCTATACTGCAGTAACCAATGATCCCCAGATTTCAGTAGTTTAAGGTAACAAAGGATTATTTCTTAGTCATGCCACCTGTTTATTGGAAATCAACAGAGGTTGGCTGTTCAAGGTAGTAACTGAGGGAATCAGCTTGACGAGTTAGTCACTGTCAGTTCCCGGTCAGAGGGAAGAGAGCTCTCGGGGATCTCCCACTGCATGATCTGGCTCAGAAGTGACACACTTACCTCCCCAGATAATTCACTGGGCCAGACTAGCTTCATGACCCCACCTGAGCACAGGCAGGCCAGGAATTACAACTCTACCACGTGTCTGGAAGGAAGAAATAAAAATATCTGGCAAATACCAATAATCGCTGACGCTTGTAAAGTTACTACAAACGCTGTAATTTATTATTCTCTCTTAATTTTCATAAAACGCCCTATTTCAAGCTCTGGGTGGTTCCCTCTACTCAATACATTCTATTATTAGGTAAACAAATTCTTGTTCACATATTTTAACAAAATTTCCACCTTGTTTCCAATGGAAGAATATCAGGTTTAAGAGTCACTCCTGTCTTTTCTAAAATGTTCTCTAAAAAAATGACCTCAACTCCTAGCTAAGGGGAATTCCTTAAGGAAATGTGTCATTTTCTTGTCTAGAAGTCAATGAGCTCAAAGAAAAATAAGAGTAGGGCTGAAAGGATGTGGAATAAAAGACCCAGTTAATGCCTAAAAGATGCCAAATTAGAAAGTGTTACCGCTCCTTGTACCATCCATCACTGCAAAAGGCCCAGCAGGAGAAAGACTATCTCAAGCTGGCAGTCTTGCCATAGAAATAGATCATTTCAATAAGGGTGGCAGAATTGTGGAGCTCAATATGGCCAGTGACATTCCATTGACTAGTTCAGAAACAAAAAACCGTAAGAACTAAGTGAATGAAAATTTGATCAAGTTCTAATCAGATAAAGTTCAATAAATCTGGGAAACATTCTTGTGTTGAATTTTTTTTGGTTCCTAGATATTAATTAGCTGTAAATTACTTTCCAGTTAGCCATTCAGCTTTTAAAAATGGATTGGCCTTTTCATAGATCTGTATTCAATGGTAGAGATGGAATTTAATATCCTTTGCTTAGATGGACTTCATGGAAGTGAGCACTCTTTCTTGGCTGCATTCTTAGTACATAAGAAAGAATGAGATTGCAGCAGATATTTCAAGTGCTTGGGGGTTGGAGAAATGCAACATAGAGACTGAGAACAAATTCAGCTTTCAGTGCATCCGGTGCCACACCCAGAAAATTCTTAATTGTGTTATTATTAAACTCCTATTTGGTAACCATGAAGAAGTAGGATAATTCAATTCAACAAATAGTTATTGACCACTTAGTAAAAGAGCTTTGCATACTCCATGAACTGTACAAGGTGATAGCATTATTGTTGCTATTATGGCACCACACTTGAAACTGCAGATAACACAGGTCAACAAGAGCAGGCAATGAAGAGAAAAGTGATAAAATAATAAACTGATGGATTGAAGTATTGATCAGGAAGGTTATATTTTGCAGAGC